AATGCTTCTAAATCAAAAAAAAATACGAAATATAATATACAAACTTACTTTTAGGTGCATTTTTGGAAACAGTTGGAGCTAGAGTATGAAGTTTATGCCTACAGTCCCTGAAACACCTAACGAGGAGAATTCATAGGTACACTACATCGAGCAGCAGCTGAAGTTGGAGATCCTCTCCATGAACTGTATGGGGCTTTGAATTCTAAGCAGCCCCGAGCTCGAGTTCCTGTAATGGAAAAGTGGTCCCAAGTAACAATGCAAGTTTTATCGAAGTTTTAAAGTATTCTACAAGTTTAAATCATGGTCTTCAGAACCCTCATAAAACCAAAAAAAAAAATACTTGGGATGTGCCTGCTCGATTTACACTGTAAAATATAACGCATGCATCCCACACGTGTTGTTATGTTTGTAATTTTCACATTTTTTAGCATATTAATAGTATAAATAGGTGTCCTCCTTGTCTTGACTTGTTTCTTCCATGACTTGGTATGGGTTTACACTCTTTAGTCTGGTTTAGTTCAGTTCAGGAGGCCGTACTAACATCCTAAAAATCATGAAATAAATGGCATCGTCATTTGTGTTTTTTACAGGAGCCGAATGATAGTTTTTCTACTTCTGCCTTTCCGAGATGAATCTACCTTGAACTCGTAATCCTTGCTGTATTTTCTGCTGTGATCGAATTTGTCGTTCCTTAATGAAACACTCGTTTGAAATCGTTAAACCAAGAGAAAGGAATGACTCACGCGTGTTATTTTATGCTCATTTTACTTTCAACAGGATAGGCACTCGTATTTCATATGCACTCCTATAGGTCGTTAAATATTGCAATATATGTACACAACTTTTTTACTTCGTTTTACAATGAACCGTCCAAACGGCGGTGCCGGTGGTGTAGTGGTAAGCGTGATTACCTCTCACCCCAGCAGGCCTGGGTTCAATCCCAGGCGGCGCCGCTGGGATATTCTGAGGCATAACATCTCTGATCACGCCTTCCTTCGGATGGGAAGTAAAGCCGTTGGTCCCCGGTTCATGAGTTGATGGGTCGATAGGTAGGGTCCAGGTGTGGGAGCTGCCTCCCTGGCACGTCGGTAGCATTGGTGCTCAGCACGGAAAACAAACCAAAGAAAAAAAAAAATGAACCGTCCATGAAAGCTTAAAATTGTAAACAAACGATCTCAAAAGTCAAAACTGCAGGGTTGCCAAACTCATGGGATACTGCGATTGAAACCTTGATTGCACTTTTCCAAGCGGAAGTGGTGACTGTATTGCCCAAAAACATCTCAACGCGTGACCCATTCTCCTTCTGTTTAGAGTTGAGAAATTTCCAAAAATGTCGTGGAAGTCTGCGTAGATTTTTCTGAGTTCGTTTGCAGTAGCGTTTCCCAAGTAACAATTCAAGCTGAATAGTAAGAACATAAGCTGATTATTGGTTGATTTAAGGTGTGAAAAGCTGATTAACATCAGGCTGAATATATAGTTGATTTGTAGTGCATGAAGCGAATTGTATCCCCTTAATCCACCCTCAATAAGTTAGTTGATCTAAAGATTGAGCAAGCCTTATTTAAGCTTAAAACTTGATTTGTTAAATGTCATCAGTATCTGTGTCACTCGTTGCAGTTTTAGCATTTTAGTTCTTCTAAATTCCAGAGACGAACCAGCCAACGGCTGAAAGTCTCTATAATAAAGAAATCAATCAATCTTCTAAATTCACTGCATACCTTTTTTATTACAAGCAGTGGCAGCAGTAGAGACAAGAAAGAGGAGATTTTTAGGAATAGCTACAGGTAAATGTGGGCTGCAACGATGTCGGAATTATTAACATTTGTATTCCTGTGTTTTTTGTCTGTTATATTGCACTGAAGTTTCAGACCACATTCCAAAAATTTTGTTCGAATGTGGCACTAAAATATCATCCAAATGGTCATCGAAATATATCACGCACTTGTTTCCACATTGTGTTAACTGCACTTGAAAATGAGAGGAATGTTTTACTGTAACCAGTTGTTGTTTACAATTCTGCATTGCTGTATAATACTCTTCCGGTTTCAGTTATTCAACCTAAATTTGACGTGCTTCAAGTCAATGATCAAACCTTTTGCCAGACATATGCTTAAGTTGACGCCTGGAAATCAGCGCCTGCCGGTTCGAATCCCGAAATGCAAAGGTAATTTTTAGACGTATATTAACAATATAAATATGTAAATCAAATTCATCAGCAACAAGTTAAAGCAGTTCCATATAACTGCATAAGATATGAAGCGATCTTCCATTATTATTTTTGAAATAAAACTAGAAGGCTGAACAAAGGTTGGAAAAGACTGTTATGTAATGCCTTAAAAAGCTTATAATGTATATTTCTGTTAAACTTTTGGCTGATTAAAATCACCAGATTTAGATGTTTGAAAGCTGAACAAAGGTTAACGTGGTCTATGTACAGGAATTATTGATGATGATGATGGTCCCACCTCTTACCCCTACAAAGGTTTGAGCTGGACGATTTATCTTTAAGATAATTAAATATGACATTTTAACCAGGTTGGCAAACAAAATCGAACTGGTTTCAGTTACAGATATAAATTCCCTCTAGAGTTTACAGTTGCTTCACAGCGATATAAATGTTGAAAAGCTCAGGCGTCCACCTCTTAGTTCGCCTTTTTGTCCACCTAAAATATTCATAAGTATTACAAGCAATCAAGAGTTAATGAACAATCAACAAAGCATCCTATTACACTAGTAACCCCGCAATCTGATGCTATCATAATTTTCAGCAATGTCAGGAATGCTCACGAACCCCCAACATTTGCCAGAAAACTTACTACTAACTCAAGGTATCTTCCAAATAAGCTTCAAAATTGCATTTTTTTTTTATCAAATGTTAAATTCAGTCCTCTATATCCGTAATACGCGCGCGAGGCTCAAACCTTTGTAGACTACTATTTTTTTTACTACTACTATTAAATCATATATCAAAAATCCATCATCACCATCGTGGCGAACAAAATAGTTTTTGCAGTGCTACAATAATTATTAAAAAGTCGTTATGACAGCTATCCATATAAAATAATCCGTTAGAGATAACTTCGTCAAGATACATAATTTGTCAATTCATAAAAAAAATCACTGGATAACCGTTCAAAAGACAGTTTTAACGTGTGAAATGCAATGTCTCTTAAATTCTGCTAATGTTGTTGAACGTTTAATGTGTCTAGGCATCGAATTGAAAACATTAATTCCTTTAAAAAATAATGAATTATGTGAAGCACAAGTCAAGAAATGTGGTGTTCTTATTTCATCCGCGTTTCTAGTATTATATCTATGATAGTCACTTCCTCTTTCAATTCGATCACACAAATATCGAGGCAGCAAACCGTTAACTACTTTAAAAATGAACACCATAGTCAAATATACAATTCTTTGCTTCACCGACAACCATTGTAAGGCGTCTAACATCAAAGTTGAGGAAGTGAATCTATTACATCTCAAAATCAAACGCATTATTTTATTCTGCAAGCGCTGTAATCTCGATATTTGTGTTGCATTCGACAGAAATAAAATGGATGGGCAAAAGTCTAGATGAGGAGAGATGATTGATTTGTATAGCTGTATTTTACTGGCAATAGTTAAATCGTTTTTCAATCGACATAGAATTCCATACTTCTTGGCAATTTTCTTGATGACATTGTCAATGTGAGATCTTTATTCAATCTAAAGTTGAATTAAAATCGATTAAACACTTATTAAGCATCAAATGGTTACATGGGTTGTACAGATAACGGTTATACGTACAATAATTGTTACTAGTACGTGCGCAATGTTGCTTGGCAAAAGGACAACGAGACTGGTAGTAGATTCGGAATGCTTTGGATCTTAGACGTTTGAGTCGTTGTAAATGTGTATTCCCCAAGCTGGTTTTGAAAATGACCTGCGCAGTGGAACAAAATCAACCAAGTAACTCTTTAACACACTGTTGAAGTACTCTATAGCAATGTCAATATCTTCAGCGGATTCAAGAATGTGCCAGTCAGTGTGGCGAGACGCTTCAAGTAATTCTTCAAAATCAGCGCGGTCATAGTAAGGTCCAGGTTCATCCAGGAAACTCTCAAATTCTGTAGGCTTTGAGAGACTAATGGTGCATTCACATCTGAGCGTGCATTAGAGGAGTGGAGCAAATTTTGCGTTGGCATTCGAGAGACAACTAGTACTTTTCTCCTTTCGTACCTTCGCAAAATCTCACCCGCGCGTGAAATATCGCGCAGGACGGAATCTACCTTAATAGTTACTTCAAAATTGGGATGATCAGCATCAAGAATAGAGAGCGATTGCTTCATTCATCAAAGCGATATTCAAGTTTTGAATGTTCTGATTGTGAGCCTATGGATATGTGAGGAGCTCGGTGCCTTAGTAGTAACCATTTCTGCTAACTGAGCAGAAAATCGCGGGTTCATTTTGGTCTCCTTAGAGTTGGTGCAACTTTGTTAATGCAAAGGTGAATGCGAATTATGGAACTCGGTCGTGGTCGTGAGAAAAATAATGGAGCTCTCAATGAAATGTGGCGTATGATTTATTCCAGTAAGAAAACATAGTTGAGTTCTGCCGGGGAATTGTAGAGTACGATTGAAACACGTCTTTATTGGTTAACGTTATACCGTGGAATGAATTTTATGTTATATTTTCTCTTTACAACAGTGACACGGATTATCACAATGCAAAACTGTTGTTGTTTCTGAACGGCTAATGGATTTGTGAAACCATCAGCTGGTTGCTCCATGGTCGGAATGTACATCAGCTGCGTCGCTCCTTGTTGTAGGCTATCGTGCACAAAGTGGTAGCGAATGCTAACATGCTCCGTGCGAGGGTTGTATGAGCCATTATTCGCGATGCTGATTGCAGATTGGTTGTCACAATTGATAATTACTGGCCACTGCTCGAATATCTGCGACCGCAAGTTGTTCCACCACATTGCTTCCCAAATTGTTCGTGACAGGGCCATATACTCTGCTTCACAGGATGAAAGAGCAGCGGTGGGCTGCTTTTTTTACGTTAAACGATATGGCTCCACCTTGTAACGTGAACACGTAACCCGTCGTTGACCTTCGGTTATCTGGATCTCCTCCCCAATCGGCATCGCTAAATCCGACTAGTTCCGATGATTCTCGCTTAGAATACTCCAACTTCTTCGTCGATGTTCCTTTCAAGTACCGAATTATCTTCTTGACGGCCTCCCAATGCTGACGTCCTGGATTGGCGCTGAACTGACTAGCTGCATTCACCGCAAAAGCGATGTCCGGACGAGTCACTTGGGCTACGAAAGACAGACATTCAACAAATTCTTTGAAAGGAACATTCTTCATCTCCTCGGCTTCGTTCTGATTTCTTGGTCCCATGTATTTGTCCAGTCTTAAACTGGGATCAGCTGGCGTTGCTACAGGATACGATTCGGTCATTCCAAAACGCTGAATGATTTGCTCGATGTACGCTTGTTGATCGAGCCAGAGCTTTCCTTCTGCTTGATCCCTCGTAATGCGGATGCCCAAACAATACTTGGCATCACCGAGATCCTTCATCTTGAATCGTTCGACTTCAGCTTTCGCTTCAGAATCTGATCGTTGGTGAAGATCAGAAAATCGTCTGCGTAAATAGTGACAAACATCAGTTTGTCTCCACACAACATCCAGTACAGGCAACAATCTACTGAGGAACGAATCAGTCCGAACTTCTGAAGCACGCCATCCAGCTGCGCATTTCATACTCGGCTTGATTGCTTCAAGCCGTAAAGAGCTTTCTTCAAGAGGCATACCTTTCCATTTCGATGGTCTATCCCCTGCGGCTGCAGTATGTAGATCTCCTCATCGTTCAGCTCTCCTTGCAAAAAGGCTTTAACTGCGTCCATCTGATCGATGTCCAGATCGTATTTCACCGCCAACGCCATAAGGTAACGAATCGTCGCATACCGTACTACGGGAGAGTACACCTCGTCGTAATCTAGTCCTGGCCTTTGCGAGCATCCTTTCACGACGAGACGAGCTTTGTACCGCTGAATGGTTCCATCAAGTCCACGCTTCGCTTTGAACACCCATTAGTTCCGAATCGATTTCCGCCCCTCAGGCAGATCCGCAAGCACCCACGTGCAGTTCTCGCTCAGTGACCTCAGCTCATCGTTCATCGCTTGAACCCAATGATCTATGTCAGGCCGTTGCAGAACTTCTTCGTAAGTCGTTGGATCGTCCATCGCACATTCACCGTTAGTTTTATCAGGAAAAACTGGGGGGAAATGGTATCACCAGAATATGCTCCCATCAGTCGCGATGGGAGCGCGTTTTGAGCTGCATCCGTAACCTCTTCGATGTCTTCATCTTCGGCATCAGAAGAAACTACAACGACTTCGTATTACTGCTCTTCATTGCTTCCATCAGCAGCGCTGATAGGTACCAACAGCTCTTGGAAATTCAGCTCTATGAACTCCACTGGCTGTGCATTTTGATCACTCGTTAGGCTTGGACTTGATTCACCTCCTGCTAGGACTACAACATCTCGACTGATTTGAAACTCACCGCTGTCAGGATCGTACAAACGGTAGCCTTTGGTGTCCTTCTAACTTCTTCCGCTTCTCTTTCGGAGTGTGTGCCATCACTTGAGATCCAAAAATCTTGAGATGCTTGAGGTGCGGCTTCTTTCCAGACCACGCCTCTTGTGGCGTTATGTTCTCCAATGACCGCGTTGGACATCGATTGACCAGATAGGCAGCTGTCGAAACTACTTTCCCCCAAAACTGCTTACCAAGCTTTGCATCGTTGAGCATGCACCGTGCTTTCTCCACCAATTCATGCGCTCTGCAACACCATTCTGTTCAGGCGTATACGGACACGTGGTTTGATGCCGGATACCTTCACGTTCCAGAACTTCACGGAAACTTTCGTTGAAGTACTTCATCCCATTGTCTGTACGCAAAATCTTCAGTTTCTTTCCGCTTTGTCTCTCGGCTCTAGCTTTGAATTTCTTGATTGCTTCAAGCGCCTGATTCTTTCTTTCAAGAAAGAACACTACTACCTTCTTACTGGCATCGTCCACGAAGGTAATAAAGTAGCGACTTCTTCCAAACGATGGCACCTCCACGGGACCGCGCAGGTTGGAATGCACCAGTTCTAGCAAGTCCTTCACTCTTGAACCACTGGTAGGAAACGAAAATCGTGCCTGTTTGCCCGTGAGACACGATACACAATTGGAAAGTGCTTCATTCTTGAAGTCGATTCCGCAATCCACTTCCTTGAGTTTCTTCAAGCTTCCTTCATTCAAATGGCCAAGACGTCTATGCCACAACTCGATGCTGTTAACCAGAAACGATTTTTCCGGCCGATTGACACGATAAAGACCGCCTTCTTCATCTCCGGTAATGACAAGCTCGCCGCTTTCATCACATACTTCGCACTTCTTATCTCTTATTCGCATTTCAAGCTTATTGCTTAGCGCATATTAGCTTATTGCATGCTCTCAACTTAGTGTTTTAAATGCACTTCCACAGTTATTAATTGAGAGCTTTCGATGCCAATACCAATGCATGAATTTTTATATTGTGTGGCAAGCACAATGATACTCTATGCCCAGGGAAGTCGAGAAAATTTCCAACCCGAAAGATACCCTCAACCGGACCGAGAATCGAACCAGCCGCCTCCAGCTTGGTAATCCGTGCCTTTACTGACTAGGCTATGAGGCCCCTTCGCACTTGTTCGCCGTGAATACTACCTTGTTTCCTCACTTACAGATGGTGCTGACCGATAACAGGTTGATTGCTAAGTCCGGAATTTTCAACACATTAGCAACTTCCATGCTTCCTTCTGCAGTTTCCACGGAAGCCGTTCCTTTTGCAACGGCCTTCATGTTGCTGTTGTTTGCTGTTCCAACGTCATGGTCCATGGCAACCGCGTTGACGAAAGGTTGATCCGAACGTGCCATGTAGCTGGTTGCACCGGAATCCAGATACTACTCATCGGTCCTTACATCTCCAATAGCGAAAATACAGCACAGTCCTTTTGACTTACTTGGCTTCAAAGACGTTTTTTAGCTCGCCGGACTTCTTTCGGCTCGTTTTTATGTACAGGGCACCTTCTGTGCTGCTGCTGACCGGACCGCGATCCAATTTTACGTCATGTAAAATTTTAGCCTTCACTGCATCCGCTGTAAGGCCGTACCGGACGCTTCGAGTCCCATGATCATGGGCTCGTACTGCTCAGGAAGTCCCATCAACAGAATCGCCGCCAGCCAAGAATCGTCCACCTTGAATCCCAAGGATGCGAGCTTGTGACTTGTGCTCATCAATTCGTCCACGCACGTCTCAACGCTAGCACAATTGATTAGCCGTACTGACGTGAATTTTCTGAGCAGCCCAATTTTCCTGGTTAATCCGCTGTCCTCGAATGCAGATTGCAGCTGAACCAGGCTGTAGTTGTAGCTCTCCAGACTTAGGCAGATCGTTGCGAGAGCCTGCAACTTCACGTCCTCAGGAACATCTTCACCGTCTCCGTTAATGGCAGACCAACTTCCTTCACGTATCAGCAAATGCCCACGTCGTATAATTCTCTCTTCTTTTCAGCTTTTTAATGGCTGGCAGCGCAACGGAACTTCTCACTTGAACGCTTCCTGATTCAGTCCTGTCTCTTCCGTTGCCATCTCCATTCCCTTGACCTTGCTGCCCGGATCCCGAACTTCCGCTTGTGGACATACTGCTGCTTCAATGAAAAAATCTTCTGAATCTTCCGGTTAGGGATTCTGCGCCCATAACCAATTGTAGAGTACGATTGAAAAACGTCTTTATTGGTTAGCGTTATACAGTGGAATGAATTTTATTTTATATTTTCTCTTTACAACAGTGACACGGATTATCTCAGACTACTGCGTTATTCAATACCGGGACATAATTCCATTTAAGGAGCTTCATGTCACCTGGGCTTGAACGATCATCAATCGTTGTAGATTGCTGTGATTCTGAGGGCTCGGTGGCCTGGTGGTGACTATTTTTGTTTGCAAAGTGAAGGATCTTAAGTTTTGTACCAGGTCCCTTTACGTTACTGAGTTGAAATGGTCGCATAATTTGCTTATCAGGCTTTAAAAAACAATGATAAAATTGGAGTCGCTGGAACTTGTACAATGCGAACTAACGGTCAATTCCATCCCCATCAGTTGATTAATTGTGCTATTTCACTGATTCTGATCAATCAGAAGTTGCAACCATATGTGCAATGGATCTAGGTCAGCCAGTTAGGCTAATCCAAGCTAGTTCGTTGCACATGTTTAATTGTTTCCCATATTAAAAAAGTCCATTAAATGCTTGTGATATTCGGAATTGATTAATATCCAATCGGTGACCGTAGGTTTCGCAGCAGCCCTGAAATTAATCCATATGCATTGCAAAATACTTCAGCCCTCCCTTCAATCAACCACTCGGAGCGAAAATGTGTGTCATTCCTGCTCAACTGACACGGAAAACACGTCATTCCGCTTTAAATTGAGTTACGCTTGTTACCCACTACTGCGCTGCTGCTGGGCTGATGGTTGTCGAGACATTTTTCACCTCATCACAACAGAACAGAGAGCCGAAACGGTGTGCGGCGACGAGACGCTCTGGCAAGTTAGCAGGCAAGCAACCAGGCAGGCAACCGAAAGCAGTTAATCTCTCACTCGTGCTGTCACATCACAGGGCGGAAAAATTTCTTGTCCGGTTTATGTTTTCCACCCATGTGAGTATGTGTTTCATATATTTTTTTTTTACTCGCATTCGCTAACAGCTCTTTCATAAATTCTTGTGTGCTCTTGTGACAGCCACTCTCTTGGTCGTCATCATCGTCGTCGTCGGAGTGTCGCCCCGATTTCCACTCACTCATCCTGGACAGTGGATTGGGTGTCGTCGTGGGTGAAGGGACTTCGTTGGTCTGGACGAGGAAGCAGCAGCGGTATGTTTTGGCCAAACGTGAGCGAATGTTTGCATGTAACATTCCCGCTTTGAAGCGAGACGTGTGACGCGAGCTAAATAGTTGATAAAGTTATTTTAATTTAATTAATTTCGCTGATGAAAAGACACCTAAGCCCGCACGGTTTGTGTGAGCGCGTCAGGTGACATGTTGTTGCTCAAAACGATGTGTCACCGCAGTGTCTGTGGTTGGTCCATACAGTCAGTCAGGGAGATGACTTGTGACGTGTCAGCAATTCGTAACAGCAGTGTCAGCTGATGGCTCTTGGGATATTACGGTCATACCTGATGGAGAAATAACGCAGATTTTAATAGACGCCAATCCGAACCTGCTATCAATCAACCTTTTATGAGGTGCGTACTATTTACGCCAAATTTCAAAACTCAAGGTTCACAAATCACTGAATACCCTTCTTATAACATTCAATTAACTTTTTCCGCACGGGTGCCGAAAGGAACCGAGAAAAATTCATCCAATTCTTTTCCTAACTTTCGAACAGTCGATGAAAAACATCAATCCCCATCACCGAGAACCATGTTTGTCTGCGGGAAAATTTGTTCATCCAAGGAAATTTATCCCTCGTCCTAGGTCACCGGGTAGAT